TTTATAAATAATTCAGTCTTCACTCTCAAAACTTATTATAAACTATATTCGTGATAAAACCTACCTTTCAGAGTATAATTTGTAATATTTGGTGCCCCCTTTATGGATCTCATCTGTCCAGAGATTCCAGTTAATTTGTTTTTATTATTTTCATTTTTATTCATTTTAATTATTTTAAGGATTAGCTATTCTTGAAATACCCTGTTACCTAAATAATTTATTAGTTTATGAGTACATATTACTCTTTTATTAAACTTTTAATCAACCTACACCTCAGTGAACACAACAGAGAAGACCCTTGGAAATTCTCATCTCACATTGAATCATACAACTACTGTTCTTACTATTTTTCTGCCAATAAAAATTCAGACAGAAGATTTGTAAATTTTCTTATTTGAACTCAGGATTATCATGTGGTCTCACATAACAAACTCTCACAGAAACTCTTTGATAATATTGTATAACAAAATCTCACACCTAATCAACTTTGAAGAGAAATTATCAAGTTATTAAACACCTTTGTATTTGAAATTAAAATTACAGTTGAACAACAGATCTACCTAGTGAACAGTATTCTTTCTATTCTTGAAGAGACAGATAATTTTGAAACTTCCTTAACTAATCAGCTCACAGAATCAGAATATGAAAGTAGTAGTTCAGAAGATCCTAAAGAACCAACAGTCATAATAGAATGAATTCAATCTTAGAAACTCCAGCTCAAAGAAGAAATTACCATATTAGATAGAATAAATAGTCTTATTCAAGCTCTTGAAGAATTAATTCGATTTATAAAGATTCAGAGAATGGAAAAGATCCTTATCCTAATTTGTAAATTTAAGGGTAATGATTAGAATCTAATTAAATAGTTACATAACTTTGAAGTAATTACAAAAGCTAATAGAATCACTAATGACAGAAAGATCGAGATAGTAAGAGGATATCTAGAGAGACTAGCTGCTATCTGGTTTGACCAATGAGCTACAAATAATAATCTTAAGTTAGATAACTGAGAAAATGAAGATCATGATGAACATAACTTTACTCACTAATTTATTCTTAAATTCTGTTCATCTCGTAAGATGCAACAGTAACAAGATGAATTGGAATCCTTGAAGCAAACTGAAATTATAGAAAAATATACTAATTGATTCATAGAATTAGGAAGTGAAGTAGATCTAAAGAATAATTATCCAGAAGAATACAAAATTCAAATTTTCAAGAAAGAACTCAAATCTGAAATCTGAAAATAGGTTAATTTAAATGCTGATAATATCATAAAAAGTATTATTGAAACTGCCAAAAATATAGAAGAAGCTGATTCAGACCCATTCGAACAGATATATTACCAAATCCAAGTCCAACTAACTGGTGAATGAAGTATTCTTGTTAAGATTTTGCAAGACCTGACCAGTAGGTTAGATTATCTAGAATCTGGAAGAAGGTATAATAATCAGAACAATAATAATAATCAACAATGAAATCAGCCAAGAGACCAATCTACTATTATTTATTATACTTGTAGAGGAAAAGAGTATATTAGTAGATATTATCCAAATAATATTCAGTCTACAAATTAGCAGTTCAATAATTAAAATACTTCTCAAAACTAGAATAATCGAAATCAGAATAATAACAGTAATAATAATAATCAGCAGAATCAGAACATCCAAAATCATAATCAGTAACCTAATAATTCACAAAATCTGGATACTACTTCTCTTTTCACTCAAATTCAGAATTTAACAGCTGCTTTGCAAGCATCTGATAATAGTCCATCTAGTGATTTATCTATCTAATCTAGTTTCTTATTACTAACAACTCATGATTATCTTGCTGGAGAAAGAAAATATCAAAGAACTGTCAAAGAAGAAGAAGAAAGTGAAAAAGAGAATGAAGTTACTCAGCCTTTACCTGAAGTATCTGATGAAGACAAGACCAACTTGGAGAAGAAGAAACAAAAGAAAGAAAGAGTACACCTTTCAATTCTAGCTAAATATGCAAAAACCTATGATATACTCAAAGATTTGGCATCACAAAAAGCCAATATCACTATTGCCCAGCTCATCAAGACATCACCTGAATAAAGAATTCAAATATCAAAAGAAATGAAAAAGGAACCACAGAAGAAACTCAAATGAAAAACAATTTTCATCCAGAAGATCAAAATAATCTCAGCCTAGTGTGAAGCTAAAGTTGGAAAGACTCTTGTAAACTTAATTGTGAATATTAGAACATCAGAATGTGACATCAGTCATGAATTTCTCAAATAATTAGGAATGAAGATTCAACAAAAATCAAATATCTTCATGTCTGATATTAATGGATATTCCAAATAACTATTAGGAGCTATTGATAACTTTCCTATCACCATTGATGAAATCATAATTCTAATTGAAGTGAATATTACTGAAGCTCAAACCTATAGTCTTGTAATAGGAATAGACTGGTTAAATAAAATTAATGCTAAAATTAATCTAAAGAAAAATATAATGACCTTTGATTGGAATGGAGAAGAAGAAAGAGTATCAATCAAATTTATCCATAGACAATGAAATAATATATCTGAAGATAGTAATACTAAAATATCCTCTAGTGAAACTTCTGATGATGAGTTTGAAATTAAAGATCAAAATCTAAAAGATCATAATTTTTTATGGTGAACATCTGATAAATCCTGGATTCAGATTCATACTTCACCCAGATAACTAAATATTGTAGACTTTGGAAAGATTTCTTACATGACTATAAACTCAATTCCTAAAGTTAGAAATATTAAAATCTTTGAAGAAGTAATACAAGTCAAGAATACCACTCTCACCTGGGAAGAATACTTGAAATTGGAAAGAAGATTTCAGCAAACTCACCATCAAAGTTCTCAATGGACTTTTGACTGGAAAGGTCCTGCAGCTAAATATTGGTATCATCATAAATTATCAATATCTAAACATGAATGCTCTCAATGCTTTGATGATCTAGTT